GGAGTGAAAGTATGAATTACTTACTGCAGTTGAAATTCAAAACGGACGGAACTTATGAGACAACTGAAATACTAGTGTGTTTTTAGAAGGGAAGAGGTGATCTAACTCGTCCACTTCATAAAAAGAAGGAGAAGGAAATGAAAAGGTACATTTCAGATCTTGTTAATTAAACACAAGTAATTATAAGAACTATGCATTACAGGGACCGGTTTGTAAAAGACATAGGTGTGACGACATGGAGCCCCATTGCTTGGCACAGCTCGTCTGGAAGCATGCTGGACTTCGTTTTCAGAGCAAAAAGCAAAGGAGGTTTTGTTTTTGCGGAGTTGGGGCCCAGCACCAAGGATAAGCGCCATTAAGTCGAACACAAGCTCTTCGGACAGATCATCACACGATTGACATGCTCTATTGTGTATAACGAAAAGTGCGCGCGATTCAGAAGCAAAGCTAAAATAGAAGAATTGCTTTTTTAGAGCGCACACAGAATCGAATGACACCAAAATTGAATCTTATACATGGAAAATTATTTGTATAAGAATTATATAAAAAGATTTGAGAACTTCTGTGAATTTTCCAAAATCTGTCCGTCTGCAGACCTGAGATCGTCTGGAGCATGATAGTGTGGCTTAAAAGTATGTACGCATTGTTTGACCTTAACTCTCTTGCTTTGATGCCTTTCGGCAGACTTTAGTTACCATTTTGTAGAGGCGAGATTCAATTTAGATTAGAGTTTGGAGCGGATTACCGACTGCTCTTCAATAATGTAGGATTACGGTAGGAAATTTAAGAAGGGATTTGAGCGGTTGAGCCATTGAGGGCCCTATTTCGCCTCATAAGCAAGCAAACAAACTGGAAACTTTTACACTAGGCTAATTAAAGTCGCTAAAACCAAATATAAACTTTGCATTCTACCGCAGTGCTTTTTTCATGACTTATGCTAGGTAAACCGCAAACTATCTTTACAATGCTTCGTGAGACTGTGAGTACACCATCTGAAAAGCTTACAGACTCTCAAAACGTTGAGTAATGAAATCAGCACGCAGAGTCCCTCATACACCACTTTTAGAATTTTTGAAAAACTTTTTGATACGCGACTAATTTACAATGATGCTATAAGCCGAAAGTTCCTAATGAAATCCTACAGTAACGAAGAGTGATAGGTGTTTCGCTCTATACTGTAAATCTAAGTTGGAGACAGCTCTATAAAATGGTACTTGGACGCAGGCAGAAGACTTTTTGAGAAGAGAGATATTGTCGATTAGGCAGTGTATACATACTTTTGGGACAACTTGTATTCCTATCACTTAATATGTTTCGGTTTTTTTAAGCATGGATGGATGCCCCCCGTCAAGAAATTACTCCTGAGCATAGAGACAGTTTCATATCGCCCCCCTGTTCGTGGTTATTTTCCTTTTCTCCAAAAATCGCCTTGTTAGATATTGCGCCCCAACGTTGAGTTATCTGCATCCTCTCCCCTTAAATTTTCCATCTCGGTTTTAGCTTTCTTTTCAGTATTTTAATGATTTTATACTTCTTCTTTCTCCTTCTTCTTCTTCTTTCTTGTGCTCGTGATCTGTCTTGATCTGTTCTGTGACCATGTAGGGCTTGATGAAGGAAATTTAATTTTGTGATTTTTCTTTTGAGAGTTTAATCTGAAGTCGCAAAATTTTCACAAAATATTTTTATCAAAATATTTATGTCTGAACGTTTGTAAAGGTCTTCTACTTTGCCCGAATGTCCTAGTAGTGTTTTCCAGCGTTTTCTTTGCGTATTCTTTGCTTTTTAGGTGATCGTCGCCGATGAAGGAGAAAAAGATAAGTGGTAAGGGAATAGTTTTGTTTTTTGAGCAGTTACAATCAAATTATTTTGTATGATCATGTTTACTTGTGAGCTTCATACTTAGGTACATAAAACAAACGAAAACAAACTTATTCTAAAACAACCAGAATCTCATTTGAGAAAGAAAGGAATTTCAAACTCAAACTTGCATGTAATTTTCATTAGATGTAGAAGCGGCAAAAGTGCTTAGCTCAGAGCCCGGCACGAGTCGGTCTCTAGGCTTCTTGTAACGAAATCCCCGTGATTTTCAAAAATCTTGTGAAGTCCCCTTTGACCCTTGTTCCCCTCCCCCCACCTCTTCACCCTCCGATTGGTGAAACTGCTCGATCAAATAGTATTTTTTTCTAGGTGGAAACCGAAAGCTGTAGAGGTCTACTAGCGCTCAAAGAAAAGCTTTGGAAAAAAAAGAGCGTCAAGTGGCAAAAAATACATATGGAACTGACCTTAGCTTTCACATAAATATCTGAGAATATGCTATGATATACAGTCGATTCATTTCATATAATCATGTGTGCATTGCACACACCGTCCATCTTTGGCGTCCTCATCTTGGAATTGCAACCCGCAAAAACGCAAGAGATTGACGGATTGTTATCGCTTACGTCACTTCGTGGTGATCCAAAAACGAAGGACACCAACACATCAAAAACACCCATCTGAAGAGTTGTCTGTGCCAAGAATCCAGAATAGGCACGCAAAAGATGGACAGTATGTGCAATGACGATTTGCTGGTATGCAGTTCGTTTGGATTGGCCACTTTAATTCTGACCATGCTCTTGTTAGCTATATTAAGAAAAGAAGAAAACTGGGTAGTATTTAATTCTTGCTCATGCCTTCTACTAAACGGAAATAGATAGAAGTACGACCTTCCCCGAGAGTCCTCCGCCGTCTGGATTTCCGCGCTGGTCCGTGGTCCCCTCCTACACCCGGGGTCAGCGATCACCCCCGTTGAAATCAAAAGTAGCCTCAATTAATCTGCTCTTATAGGGGGATAATTTTCACCACTCCACCAGCTAAAAGAATAAAAGAAACCCTGAACGTCCGATCTCGCGTACGGCGCCGGATCGTAGCAAGAACGAGACGATGTAGTGGGTGGGGTGATAGCATGGACAATGCTGGGAACTGAACGAAGTAGGGAAGAAGATCAAAATGCGAAGAAATTGGAAGAAGACTTAGTTCATGAAGGACCTTTGTTGAAATGCAGAATTGCAGTTAGAATGCGACCCTATTATGGAAGGAAGTCAGCGACCAAGTGATGGACGCGGAGCTTCGTGCCCATCTGTCCCACTCGACCGTTCTCCCGGCGCCCTCTCAGACAATTGCATCGGAAAGTTCGCGGTTTCAAAGCGTGCTACATGGCGCGCCGCGGCCCTTAAAATTTCAGCCGCGCACGCCGCGGCCCATGTATATTTTACCGGGAACGCCGCGGCCAAAGTTAAAATTGGAAAGAGATTATCGGGAGAGTCGCGGCCCAATCACCTCACTCGGCGTGCCGCGGGCCTTATCAAAGGCCGCAATTCTTACACGCTGTAGGTTAGAGCGCAACCCGCATGAGGTACGCCGCAGCGATGGGGCTACCCTAAATGTTTGTGAGGCTGGTAATCGCTTCTCGGATTTGACGCTGTGTGACAGTTGAGTTCATATGCTTGCAAGATAAACTTCAGCAGTCGGATGAGTGTTATCGACGACACTAGATGATGTCGAGAGATGAGCTAACAAGTTGCTCAATTTGCACTCAGTCGTTGTCATGAAAGACAGGCTAAAAGTTTTTTCACTCTTCCTAGGCCTCACAAGCATGCTAATCGGGTCAACATCGGGCGCTTACAGGATGCGCCGCGGTCACTTATTGGGTCCAATATCGGTTTATACCGGGCAGCTCGCGGCGTGGATGATTGGTAGCCGAGCAAGCACCCGCGAACTTCCCGATGCAATTGTCTGAGCTGTTACGCAGCTTAGACTTAGGCTTACACCGCAGCCACCTTGAAAGCTATAAGGGTCACCCACCGAGCGCTAGTGCGACACAAATAACATCTTGTCGGACTTCGCAGTACGGATATGAGAAAATGTCTCGTCTTCATGACCCAGCGGAGTACGTTGAGAAGGCGAAGCATCGATGGGCCAGTCACATTATGAGGAAAACATACGACCGATGGACATCAAGAGCATCAGAGTGGATTCCTCGCGAAGCAAAACGTTCCCGAGGAAGACCACCGACGAGGTGGGCAGACGTGTTCGTGAAACGGATGGACCAGCTGGATGCGATTTGTATTTGAAACTCGTGGACGCAGCCACCGACGTCGACCAAGGAGATCAGGGATGTCTGAAGCAAGGCAGGGATCGATGGAATCTTTGAGGACGGGCCATATGACTATTTAAGTAAGGAGAGACTAAAGAGGTGGTGTACAAAATTTTTTGGTGGTGAATATTTTCTCCTGTAATAAGCATTGCAGAGAAGAGGCGTGAAAAGCTATATTGACTATGTTCAAACTACCCCTATTTCCAGGAGTATGAGCCGCACTTTTTAGATTTTTTGCGACCCCTATGCTGCACGCTTCTCTCAAACAATGCGCAGCACTGGTAGGCTCCATAAACCGCAATGTCTTTTGGCTGTTTGGTCAATCACACGAAAATGTCCCCATTTCTCCCATTGGCTTATACACAGAAAATTAGAAAATCACGAAGAAACCTGGTTTTCAAAAAAAATGATGTCTTTTTGATGAGCACAATGAAACGATAGGCACGCCAGAATTCGAATTGGAAGTACGTCAGGCCAGTGGTGGCCTTATAAATCAACCGCAGTCTGGCCTCTCTCACGAAAGTGCTCTTTGATCATTCTCTAACCTCAATTAGGTCGTAGAGCCTCGCCTTCAGGCCGCCAAACAATTTGAATCAGAGGGATCCAAATATATCTCTCCGCTAAGCGTCGTACTTTTATTCACCAATCGCCTGAACATGTCCTTCAGATATACAATCGCTGTGCACTGGGTGATTCTTCATTGGATCCGCTAAAAAAAATTTTTCATACAAGTATGTATGATAATCATCTGTGTAATCTGTTTTCTTAACATTATAAGAAAGCTTGAATATCGCACCTAAAATATCACGTCAGAGTTAAACACAATTGAGCTGTCGTGCGTTTCTCAAAAACAACAAACTGATCTGATTTATTGCAGTAAACAACTGAGAAATGTTTTTAAAAAAACTGACGTAGAAGAACGATTATCACTTGACCACAGTCTAAGTCATTACGAGACGGTTGCAAACACCAGCCAGTTGCCTTCAAATATTACGTTTTGTATGTAACTATCATGTCGCAATGTCCGTTTTGTGTGCTTGCTTACCGCGCCCCGGAGTTTGCTAAACAGAAACAAATTTTCTGAACACCAGTGGTACCAAGTCCGGATGATAGCATGCACTGCTTCAATCTTTGAACCAAAATCGCGTCAGACGGCAAGGACAGTCCGCAACTGTAAATGCATTTTTTTGTGCATCGACATGCTATAACTTTGGGTCATGCATTGCACATGAACAGATTCAAGTGATGTTGTATTGGCAAGCTGCAAAAATTACCTGATTAGAATAGTATTCTGAAAGTGAATGGAGCTTTCCCTTTGCTTCGTAGAGCATATATAGGCGATTAGAATTACGCACAGACTAGACTGGCGTTCGTCCAAGATGTCTTCTCATGGGGAGACAGCAACGCTAAGTGGTGTAAAGAAGGCTCGATCAGTAAGACGCCGACAACGTCTGCAGTGTCGCCCTGTCTCTGCGTGCGATGAAATTAAGTGGTCCATAAGCCCTGCACTAAATCAATTTACTCCGCGACAGAATATGTTTTTTTCGAATTCTGTAGAAGTTTAAGGATGCCGGTCAGAAAGAAAAGCAAGTTTTACATTACAAGACGTTGTTTGGAACTTGCATCAAATTTGATTTACGGTGAAGTCTGGAGCCAAACAAAAGGACCACAATGCCCGAAAAATCGAAAAAAATTTAACTTTTACTCAATCGTACATGATTTTCTACTTTCTCATATACATTCGCATAAAACACTCATACGCATACTTACTATAACTTTTTCCTGTCAAAAATTGAGAGACGAGTTTTCATGCTTTTCTCACAGCGATGCTAAGTTCTTGCAGCACTAGTAAATGTATGCTACAAACCCTCGAAAGTACAAATAATTTTCTAGCTCTCTAAGAGCTATTTCTTGAGAAATCTTGAAATGTGCTTAAAGAACCGAGATTGGAGGCTAATTTCGATTTTAGAGCTTGCAGCCCTTGCAAGAGGCTAAAAATCCAAGGTTATACTTTCAAGAGCTATATAATCAATATTGTGAAGACAGCTCAGCTTCGCTATAGCGAAAGCATGGAATTCTTGGTTTCTCGGCTTCTAACCTAAGTATAGGCTGATGCATGACGAAGGCGCAATATCTTTGAGCGTGAACGCGGCTTTGGCCACAGAGCGCATGAGGGGCAGGATTTACAACGGTGAAGATACGCGCGCGACGCGTTCGCGCCCGCTCAACTGAAACTGCTTTTGCGCCTTGGTCATGCAGTAGCCTTTGCCTTAACTGCACATATAAACGTCTTATGTTGCAAATAGCTAAGCGGCCAGGAAATCCATACGATGTTCCTTAGACAGAGCTATGATTTTTTTGGTTCTTCGGGCACTTAGACCTTTTTAACACATTGACGACAATACGACCCACCGGTGGGTCGTACGTGTACTGCCATTTCGGACAATACGACCCACCGGTGGGTCGTAAGTTTTCGAAAGCTCTAACTTTGCCAGCATGCGATGGAATTCTACGGTATTCTGGCACATGATTGGGGACACCTTGGCGAAGCTCTAGCCGGAGTGGTCTGGGTCCGGGATACTGTAATGTAATGTTACGGTAGGTATACCGTAGATAGAGGTGAGGCACAGATTTTAGCTCGAATTTCTCGCAGGGTGGTGCTGTTTTTGACAATTCAAGTTTACATGCACAAGAAATACAGGGAGAGCATGAGACTGATGTCAGCCCATCAAAAATTATCGATTTTATTGATTTTATTGTTTTTTCGCATTGTTCATCTCAGGAAGCTCAAACCTTGCATATATAGGTTTTTTAGCATGCTGATTACGAAAATGATAGTATCAAGTTCTAATACCGCCTTCTTACATAAGTTTCTTAATTCTTAAAAAAATTCTACCGTACTGCTGCCGTAGTCCCACTGTGGGAAAGTAGTGAACAAAGTGGACACTATAATTGTGATCAGCATGTGAAATAACCCCAAAATACAATTTTCCACGAAAATCCGTAATGTTGGGTTCGTACAGAGTGACTACCGTAACCTTACCGTATACTGCCAAAAACTGAAACAAATCATTATTTGATAATCAGCGCCTTCGATAACCTTTGTGGGGATATTCTCAGAGATATGTTTTGAATTTCTTACAAAAAGACTACCATTTCGGACAATACGACCCACGGGTGGGTCGTAAGTTTGGCAGAGCAAAAAAGGCTCCTGTCCGAAATGGCAGTAATCGAAAAATCGGCCTTGTCGTCAATGTGTTAAAAAGGAAGGGTACTTGTCGAAATGGCGCATCCATATAAAAGTATACTATCTTATAGAGCATGAAATGCTAATTTCAAACATGCTTTCGCGTCTACAGACCGAAGCGCTTCTGGTAGGGAAGTCATGGAAATTTTTGGTGCAAAAATTGAAAGCGCCGCTACATTAAAATCATTCAGAACTTTAGTCCGTGAGCTCAGATCGGGCTATGATCACTACCAGGGAGCTTCAACAAATATCCTCAAGTTAATAAACTTACGTCAGTCATTACTTCTTTCATGGCGGAAAGAACTCATCACCAGTTACTTTGCTATGCCGTGCACAGTTTGTTAAAGTCAATGTCTCATTTTGCATAGTGCAAGCCATTCCATTCCTGTGTAACTCAGTGCGGATCCAAAATTGTTCTTTGAACCAGTGGGAGCAACACGGACGAGTTGTGCCTTCTCAGCCTAGCCTTCGCGACATTAGCAGCAACACTATGGAGGTGGACGCTAAGTGGAGGGACATGTTGAAACATGTGAGGGGCAAACCGGAGTGCCGGCCGTGCGCGCCAAACCGCGCTTTGCGGTTACTTTGAGGGCGAATTTTTCGGCTTAGAAGGGCCTGAATCGTATTATCGCTTAGGGCGGTCGCCTACAGGAGGTCCCCTGACGGAATACGTAGAGACCCGCACTACCTCAATTGGGGAGATACTGCTTTCAATGGTGATCCAACTTTATTGCCTGCCGTTTCGGCAGGGAGCCGTCTTCAGATATTAAAAAGGTGTCAGCTATAGTGATATACGTTTCTGAGCCGCCAAATATCTCCTCCTGTTCGCCATCCGATTCGCCTTAAATGGAAATAGAGAGTTCAGGAGAAGCTGTGTACACGCCAAATGCATCATCGTTTGCAGCGGATAGCCTTTCAAGCTACTGCTGTTGGCCGTTGTGAGTGAATGTGACATTGAGCAACCAAGATGATAAAATGTTGCTTATTTGATGGCAAACAGTCTTATAGTTCACAGAACGATAGATACGGCAGTAGATCACTCGTCAAAGATAATGTTTTATTCTTGCTGTTCAGTTTCGGCTCGGGAAAGAATGTAGGATGCTGCTAACAAGGGGAGGATACTAATTAAGATTTGCCTTTTGAGATGTGACGCATATAATTGGAATAAGCTTTGAACGCTGATTCAAAGTATGCTGTTCCTAGCTGGTTGGCATTATTTCAAAGCGAGTTATGGGCTTGCTGTTGTGATTAATCAACGAACTTTCGAATGTCGTAAGACGGCGTATAGATAAGAATCTCTCGAAGAAAGTGCTAGGATGTTGAATCAGCATCAGATTAAATCTTGCTTCTGAAAGGGAGCAATATTCAATTACAAATCCACCTAGACGTCGACAGCGTAGCATCAGAGGTCGAGGAATATGCAAACTTTATATAGAAAGGAGACCATAACTCGCTTCAGAATGAAGCTAAGCAGCTAGGAACAGCATATTTGAGATCAGCGTTACAAGCTGATTCCAAATGTTTGTATATCATCTAAGAAGGCGAATCTAAGTTAGTATCCTTCCCTTGTAAGGTTTTTTGAGCAGAAATTTGTCACCCGTAGGCTAGAGTTTTCATTAACTAATTTCGTAATGACCGCCATGTCTAATTCTATGCTTTCTAGCGGACTTATCATGTTTTGTCTCTTTTGGCTAGCTATATGCTTTAATCCGTACACACAATGGTCAGCTGGTTTCACCGACATAAATGGCACAGCTCTCCATGCATTCAATTTCATGCTTGCTTTGCTTTGTAAAACGGTAAGTAAAGCCTATCAAAATATTAAAAATGTATGTGGTATGAATCAATTTTGGTGCAAGATTTACGGACAAACCTAATAGGAATTATGTGCAAGAAAAAGACATGAAGTCATGAAAACAAAACGCTTGAATTTATCCTGTGTCTAAATTTTATCTCAATTCACACGCGCATCACTTACTGATTTTGTCGGTTTAAAAACCGGCTACGCGGCTAAGAGTTGGCTTGAGGGGGGGGGGGGGGGGGTGGATGAGCACACTGTTTACGAGTACAATAATCGCTTGTAAAAGTGACCATTATTTCTACGATTTTCATCGATTTTTGCAGTTCAACTAAGTTGAAAATTGGTGCGGAGGAGTAAGTGAGCATGCTGATCATGAATACAATAACTGTTTGTGAAGGGGCCATTTTTTGATGATATTTATCGATTTTTGCAAATATTGATCAGCTGTGCTACGAGTTGATACCGGGGAAGGAGAGTGAGGATTACGAATTAGGACATGGATAGAGAAATTTTATGTAAAAGTGAGAAGGTATGATTAGTTGTATCATGTGATATTGATAGGAATTGAGCGATGCCGTGTACCCTAGTTTGTTAATAATTTGTCTGCTGATCAAATCCAAGTTTTGCTTTTGAGTTTGTCATTTGCTCTTTCTTCTGAAAAATGTGCGGATTGAAAGAATCCACAAATAGTTGTTGTTATTATTCTCAACTTCTTTTATTTTTTTCATATGATTCCAAAAATCTATTGCCTACAATAAAGTACAACTTTTAGATGAGTATATAACGAGTTTGCAGCGTGTCGCAGACGTACCAGCTTGCTGCATGAGTTCTGTCCTTTTCGCAGTTTCAAGTCCAAAATACTAAAACTCTTTTGGAATAAACGTTTTCGACAACTTTTCTTCGGATAAAGCACCTTTTTGGCTATTAAAGGAATACTAAGCCTTGCAAAAACACTATTAAAAAACCCAAACTCAAAAATCCTACACGTCTCAGCATTTTTCCCTTATCCTTGCGTTATATTATCCTTCCTGTTAGTTCTTCGAACGGAAATAACCAGCAGTTACATCGCCGCGAAAAAGAAGGTATTCCTTTGAGCTTTTTCTAGCATGTGGAATATGTAAGC